GAAAAAGAGTTATAGCTTAAATAAACAATAATTTGAAATTAAGATCCCAGTATGTTTCAGCAAAACAAGTATCTGAGAAGGAAAAGGATTAGAAACAAACGTGTCAAATGTCCAGATCTAGATGAGGATGAGAAAAAGAAAAGTGATTAATATTTCAATACATAATAAAAGTTCAAAAAAATATAGTAAAAATAATATTTAGAATTTCCACAGTATAACAGGAAGAAAACATAATGAAAGACACTTTTTCCATCAAAAAATTTAGAAAAAATAAAAATAAATAACAAGAAAATATAATAAACTGATAACATGAAATAAGGTATCAGCCCAGAAATTGAGTGAGAATGGTAAATATTAAAGGGTTAATTTCTCATATTAAAAAGTCAGCAACCCTCAACTTGCTCCCAAAGCAAAATTTACATGTATTACTTTGAGAAGAAGTATATTTAAAACAAAATGACATTCAACAGATAAATAACCTTGTATAACAAGATATCCACAGGTAAAGGAATGAAGTTGGAACCTGTCACGGATTAAATTGTATCCCCTCAAAATATGTGTTGGAAATCTAACCCCTATATCTATGGATATAATCCCATTTGGAAATAGGGTTTTCTTTGTCATGTGAATGAGGCCACATCAGTGTAGAGGGTGTCCTAAACCTAATCACTTCTGAGTTATAAAAAGAGCAGGTTAGATGCAGAAGCAAGCAAAACCTGGGAAGACAGAGGCCATGTGAGGACTGTCTACAAGCCAAGGAACCCAGGAATGCCTGGGGCTACAAACAAGGATGGAATCCACATGGTCAAAACCCTGATTTGGACTTTCAGCCTCCACAACGGTGAGAAAATAAATTTTTGTTCTTAAAGCCACCACTTGTGGTACTTCTGTTATAGCAGCACTAGCTAAGACAGACCCCTACCTCACCATATACAAAAATTTACTCAAAACGGATTACAAACTTAAATGTAAGAGCTAAAACTATAAAACTCTTAGGAAAAAACATAGGAGCAAGTCTTCATGACCTTAGAGCAGACAATGGTTTCTTGGATATGACACCAAAAGCACAAGCAACAAAATAAAAAATAGATATATTGAACTTCATCAGATTAAAAACTTTTGTGCTCCACTCTCAAGAAAGTGAAAAGACAGCCCACCGACTGGGAGAAAATATTGGCAAATCATGTATCTGGTAAGAGACTTGTATCCAGGATATGTAAAGAACTCTTAGAACTCAATTACAAGAAGACAAGTAACTCTATTAAAAAACGGGCAAGGGATTTGAACAGATGCTTCTCCAAAGAAGATACACAAATGGCAAATAAGCACATGAAAAGACGCTCAACGTCATTAATCATTAGGGAAATGCAAATCAAAACCACAATTCGATACTACTTCATACCCACTAGGATGACTATAATCAAAACCACAGATAGTCAAACAAATGTTAGTGAGGATTTAGAGAAATTGCAATCCTCATACACTGCTGGTGGGAATTTAAAATAGTACAGCAGCTTTGGAAAACAATTTAACAGTTCCTCAAAAAAACTTAAAAGGGCACAAATAGTTAAGTGCTTGGCTACTAACCAAAAGTTTGGAAATTCAAACCTACTTAGAAGTATCTCAGAAGAAAGGTCTTGTCATCTGCTTCTGAAAGGTCACAGCCATGAAAACTCTGTGGAGCATTTCTACTCCGCCACACATGGGGTCACCAAGAGTCAGAATCAACTTGATAGAAGCTACTTAGAGTTACCATGTGACCAGAAATTCCACTCCTAGGTATATACCCAGGAGAAATGAAAACATGTGTTCACACAAAAACTTATACATAAACGTTCATAGCAGTATTATTGGTAATAACCAAAAAGTGGAAACAACCTAAATGTTCATCAATTGACGAATGGGTAAACAAAATGTGGTATATTCATACAACAAAATATTATTCAGTCATAAAATAGAATGAAGTACTGATACTGCTAGAACATGAAGTTTGAAACATGTTCAGTGAAAGAAGCCAAACAGAAAAGACCACATATTGTATGATTTCATTTATATGAAATGTTCAGAATAGGCAAATCCATAGAGACAGAAAGAAAATTAGTGGCTACCAGGGACTCAGGGAAGGGGTAATGCGAGTGACTGCTATAGAGCACAGGGTTTCTGTTGGGGGTAATGAAAATGCTCTAGAATTAGACAGCTGTGATGATCGTATAACTTTGTAAACGTACTAAAAACTGTGAATTGTATACTTTAAAAAAGTGAATGTTATAGGATGTGAATTATATCTCAATAAAGTATGAGCTATGAAAATCACACACTATAACTACTTGGAAACCAAATCAAAAAACCAAACCCATTGCTGCCGAGTCCATTCCAACTCATAGCGACCCTATAGGACAGAGTAGAACTGCCCCGTAGGGTTTCCAGGGAGTGGCTGGTGGATTCAAACTGTAGACCTTTTGGTTAGCAGACAAGCTCTTAACCACTGCACCACCAGAGCTCCAACTACTTGGAAAGAGGGTCTCAATTCATGAACCAATTTAGCAGTGGGACTCCACGTTAAAAACAAGACACGAAATTGTTAAAAATAAGGAGTTGGACGAAGACATATCAAGCAAATGAAACAAAAATAGGAGTGTTGATAGTAACATTCCTCAAATTAGAATTCAAGACATAGAAACATTCAGTGGGGCTAAGAAATCCTCTATGATGCTACAAGGTACAATCCACAAAGAAGAGACAGTATTTTTGGATTGTTATACAGCCGGTGTAATGCCTGAGAATACATGGAGCAAAAATATTAGAAACAGGATAAGAATATGACAAAAACATCATTTGAGTCTTTAGTATCGATATCTCAGAATCTCAGAATCCGATGGACCAAGTAGTCGGAAAATAGATAAGCATTTAGAGAATATGAATAGTGTTATTAATTAACTTGACCTAACTCAAGAAAGAGTAGGAATCTTAGGCGATACAAACAATTAACACACTCAGCTGTTAACCAAAAGGTTGGCAGTTGGAGTCAACCCAGAGGCATCTCAGAAGAAAGGCCTGGTGATCTACTTCGGAAAAATCAGCCACTGAAAACCCTATGGTTCACACTTCTACTCTGACACACATGGGGTCGCCATGAGTCACAATGGACTCAGCAATAACTAATTTTTTTAAGTCAAGAGACACCTAAAGTGTAGTGACAGCTTATCTAGGAATTAGGTCCTAAACTCAGTGTGTAAAGATAAACTTGTGTATGATCCAAAAAAAAAAAGTCACATTTAAACTCTGCCGAAAACCAAAGATAAAGAAAAATCTTGAAGGCAGTGGGCGGTGGGGTGGGGGGTGGGGGTGGTAAGGGAGGGGGCACATATTACCTTCAAAGGAACAAAGATAAAAAAATAATAATAAAACAGCCAACTTCTCATTAGAAATTATAAAGGCCTGAAGAAGGAAAACTGTCAACCCAAAATACTACACCAAGTGAAAAATGATGTTTTCAGATAAACAGAAGCTGAGAGAATTCTTTGCCAGCAGATCTCTACCACAAGAAGCGTTAAAGCAAGTTCTTCAAGTAGAGAGAATGTAATACCAAACATAAAACTGGATCTACACAGAAATGAAGAGCTCCAGAAATAATAAAAATGAAGATAAACATTTTTTTAAAAAAACCTTTTTTTTCTTATTTTTAATTACTCTAAAGGATAATTGACTGTTTAAAGCAAAAGTAGTAACAAACCATTGTGGGGTTTGTAACATATGTAAATTAATGCAGTATCTTGTATTATTGTTCGTGGTTAGTGTTTACATGCCAATGCCAAAAGGTAATGTAATGGTAGGAGATTCTACTTTTGATTTCAATCCTAATTTTGCCCCTACTAGCTATGCATCTTAAGCAAATAGTTTAGTCTCTTTGAGCTTATCCTCTATCTGTAAAATGGGGCAGTCAATAATATCTCTTTTATAGGGTTGTTTTGGGGATTAAATGAAGTACCTGGGTAAACATCCCTCCCTTTGCCGGGCCCATAGCAAACACTTAATTAAATTAAGTTTCTTTCTCCTCTCTTCTCCTATATGAACCCGGGTGAAACCATATCATAAATGTTTATTTAGCTATATCCTGCCTCAGTGTAGACAATATACTAAGTTAGAAATACTCAATAACTTTAGAAATGATAATAGAGCTCCATATCTCAAGGGGTTTCTAATACTCTCCAGCTCCCTGAATGGGTCAGCCTGTATCAAGTAAACGTCATAGGCCCTGGGATCAGAAAACAAGAGAACGTCATAGGCTCTGGGGTCAGAAAACCCTGAATTCATATCCACGTTCTTCTACTTAGAACTGCGTAAACTTTTGCAAGTTGCTTAACCTATCTGAGCCTCAGTTTGTTCATCTTAAAGGATGCTATGAGGATTAAGATAATGCTTGTAAAGCATTTTGCACACTGCCTGGCACATAGTAAATGCTCAATTAGTATTGTTTAATAAGTATAAATGCTCAGTAACTGTAAACTGATCACTGTTTCTAACAATAGTTATTACTGCTCACTATTATTATTGCTATCACCATCTTTGTGCCTTGGTAACCACTATCAATATGATGTAAAGTTGTTGGTAGGACAATGAGGTTGTATTGATGAGCTCCGAGGAATCTCACAGCCGCCTAAGCGGCACAGAAGGAGAAATCATCACAGCTGTTATGTAAATAAGGGGCCCTGGTGGCCTGGTGGTTAAAGTGCTGGGCTGCTAACTAAAGGTCAGCGGTTCAAACCCTCCAGGTGATCCATGGGAGAAAGATGTGGCAGTCTGTTTCAGTAGGAATTGGCTTGACAGTAATGGGTTTGGTTTTTCGGTTATTTAATGTGTATGTCCTGTCCCTTCTCAAGAAAATGGGATCTTAACTGAGATTAGCCTTTTATTATATATGATTTTATTGTCATCACAGAAGGATTTTTTTAATACATTGTACTTAATTTAATCTTTCATAATATTTCTCTGATTTGCAGCTTCTGTAACCTAACAGCTATATTTGCAATAGAGACCTTTGGATTGATTACCAGGTAATGACCAATGTCTAACTGGGCTTTAATGAGGGAAATTCTAAAAGATATGAGTGGCATCTGAAAAGGAAAAGCACCTCTCCCCCATGTCTTTCAAAAATATGGCCAATGTAATGCCCGTTCGGGGTTCAGAGGCATTGTAATGGCTGTTCAGGGTTCCCGGCTGAAGTGCTATTGCACAAAATATTATTGTATAGGGTATAATGGAAACAAATACTAAAAAAAAAGAAAAATCTTGTATGAAGTATTCATTGCGAAGTCAGTGACTTTTATAAATGCATGTTTGTGATTTTTTTTGCTGTCTATGAAATCTGTTTTCCCAAATGACAGAAACTTGCTAATTTCCTGGAGCCCTAATACCTCTGCACTATTTCTGACATCCTAAAAAGTGTATATGTCTATTGTATCAGACCCCTGGGTGGCGCAAATGGGTAAGCACTCAACTACTGGCCGAAAGGTTGGCGGTTCAAACCCACCCAGAGGCAACTCAAAAAAAAAAGTCCTGGTCATCTGCTTCCAAAAGAGCACAACCTTGAAAACACTATGGAGCAGTTCTACTCTGTAACACAGAGTCACCATGAGTCAGATTCAACTCAACAGCAACTAACAATAATAACAATTATATCAGGGATACAGCAGGAAAGAATTCCTGAAAATTGTTCCATCCCATTCACCAGCCACTGTCTTCCTAGCACACGTATCTTCCAACTCTGCCTGATGGGCAGATGGTCAAAGGCCACTCTCACCCACTGACCATCATTCTGATGTGACCAGGAAACAGGTAGTAAAGTCATTTCCCTGTACTTGGCTCTCTTTCCCTTGGAAAGCAGAGTTGGGGGGAAAAAAGTCTGACTGTTAAAGTTGGGGCCTTAAATGACTTTGCTTCTCTGCCTTGAGCCTGGTTAAACAAAAACAGAAGACAAACAATTAATTTACTCGTGGCCCTGCTTTAAGTATTACTAACGCCTCAATGTTTTGGTGCTAATGGAAGGTAAATCGTATGAATAATTTGAAATAAAACAAGAGTACTTCGAAGTAACTTTGAGAAACATGTATACCCTTTTTGCAGGGACTTCTCCTCCTGACTAGGCTGATATGTTTGATTTAGGTGAATATTAAGAATACTTGTTGTTAGTTCAACTCATAGCAGCCCCATGTGACAGAGTAGAACTGCCCCACAGGGTTTTCTAGGCTCTGATCTTTATGGGAGCTGATCAGCAGGTCTTCTTCTACCAAGGAATGGCTAGGTGGATTTGAACCTTTAACCTTTGGGTTAGCCACTGAGCACTTAACTGTTGTGCCACTAGAGCTCCTTTTATTAAGAATGGTATGCCCACCCAAGTATCTACCAACAGAAGACGGGGTCAAGAGAGTTGAGGAGGAAAAGAAAAGGAGTAAAGATGGAGGATCTTCCTTATTTGCCTGAACTCACTCCCAGTAGCTCAATTCCAGCAGTCAAGGAATATGGATGTAACATAGGGCATGGTCCATTAGGTTACTGATGGTATTTTAGCCTCTGTTACACCTGGGCCCTAAAGGGTACCAGAAGGGCAGAGAGGGGACTAACTGGTGGTGACTATTTTCCTAATGAAAGAGTCATTGTCCATGAACAAAGTCCCTTAATAGTGAAATAGTAACACGCTCAACTGCTAACTGAAAGCTTAGAGGTTCCAGTCCACCCAGAGGTTCCTTGGAACAAAGGGCTGGTGATCTACTTTCAAAAAATCAGCCACTGAAAGCCTATGGAGCACAGTACTACTCTAACACACATGTGGTCTCCATGAGTTGGGATCGACTCAATGGCAACTGGTTACTGATGTCCATCAGCAATTACTGGAGATCAGTTTGTAGAAGGCAGAGAGCTTGGCACTTCCTGTTTCTAACCCAGTCCTTGACACTCCGCCATTTCCCCAATTTCTCCACTCTGCCCTCTAGAGTTGCCATCATTTTACCCAGCAAACTCACCTAAATCCTTGACTGTCCCTGAGCCCTCCCTCTGGCTCCTTAAGTGAAACCTTAAGAATAGGGTAAGGTTGTTGAGAAACTATTTTGTTCTGTAAGCCTTCATCTTAAGTGAGAATAACAGCACAATTGGAAGAGCATAGTCAATGTCACTGAACTGTGAATGTAGAAATTTTTGAAATGGTGTATCTTTGGCTATGTGTATTTTCACCAAAAAAAACTTTGAGAAGTTAGAGGGTTGATATGTT